CCTGCCCCGCCCCTCCTCACAACCACCATCCCCTCTCGCTACCCCCTTTAGGTACGGTTTTTCAAATTTGACCTTGAACTACTTCAAGCCCAATGGTGATATCGCAAGTAATCAAAATGCGTTTAGTAAGAAACTTCATGGGCTTTTAGGAAATAGCTATCCACTTTGGCTTCTGTCTTACACGCCACATCTCTGAAAGTAAAGGTCACACATAAGTGATTCAGGAAATTCTAATGATACAATTGTAAGGTTAATATGGTTTTTTGAAGGGCAGATGGTACATTTCAGCTTAAGCTAAAAAGTTTTAGCTTCAGATTTTCTCGTGATATAAAGCTCCGAGTTTGCAAATACACATTGCAACATCTCAGTGTAAATTTGTGAAATACAATATTTTTTGTAAAGATTACTTCTGTATACCTATCATCCATGGATTTTCACAATAAGAACCTATTTTATCACATATTTTTAATTTATCGTCTTACTACGTACTTACGTTGTAAATCGAAAGTATTGCAATGCTGCAGAAGAAATCTGTGATTTTTTGACAAAAAAATCGTACTGTCCGACACTAGTAATGAAAAGTGGATACATCTTGTCCCTATGGGTAGTAAATTACTTACTCTTATACGTTCTGAAGTCGGAATCAATGTTTCGTTGGCCCTTTATTTAAAAAAATCGATTGACAGTAAATCGTACTGTACGTTTGTCCGTGCTCAACGCTAGCGTAAACCGTTCAGACCTTTTTCTCCAAAATCGACATTCCTCATAGATCTGAAGGCACTCGACGCACTGCGATTTTGAAAGGGATCTTTTTATTTGAGAGTGTTGTACATGGAGCCTCAATATTTTCTAAATTTTCTAAAAAAAGTCTAATATTTTTTTATTAAACTTCATTATCGGATAGCGTAAAAGACGCTTAAAACATGGGGCAGGTTTCGTTTTCGTTAAAATCTAAGAATTTTCGAAAGTTATGAAAGTCCAAAATGTTGTTGGTGTATTACTACACCTACTATATTAAATAGACATTTTCTCCTTAATGAAATCTGTGGACCAAGATATAGATTTATGAAATATAGAAATATAGATTTTGAAAAAAAGGATTTGGAGTACATGAGTAGTTTTTGCGTGACATACAGGCAATGCTTAAACAATCATTTTCTCAAAACCAGGTCTAAATTTGTTCTTTAAATTTTCTTTTCGTATGTATCAAAGGAAGGTAAAAAACAATTGTCTCTTGTCACATTTTCATCAAACTCTGTATTTTAGAAGATTGCAAAATTATTACTACAGCAAATGTATAATATTCACAATAAAGATGTTTGCCTTAAATAATATATGTTCCAAAAAAGATTTTTGAAAAATGTTGATAAATAATTTTTTTTAAAACTAGTAGTTTGTTTGTAATTTCTGTTTGTAGTTCATGCAATTTCTAAAAAACATTTTCTCAAAAACGGTTCCGAATTTTTGTCACATTTTTTGACGCCTAGAAAAAGAGGCTAATAAAATGACGCAAGTATAATTTTTTTTGTACTCTCTGAATTTTCAATAATTGCAGAACTTGTGAGGAAGTAAATACTGTTGCAGCACCACTATTTAATCATAAAACATCTTACGTTGAGAAGAGGCGCCCCTCCATGATTCGCGCGCGAGGTTTGCCTGTACGTTGTGCCACCGCGTTCGTCGTCCCACACCCAGTGTACAGCGTGCCTGCCGCCTTCTGCGCTATTGAGGTCGGCCTCTAGCATCTCGCGTTTCGTCAATATTATTCCGGATAGGCACGGCCTCTTGCCGCATCGGTTGCTCTGTTTCTCGCCCCCCCCCATGCGCCACGCTGCCCGTTTGAGCTGCCATCACCACTCATTAAGCTGCTACCGCCACCCCGCCCCCACCCCCTCTGCTGCCAACGGCACCGGTATCGGCGCAGCCACTGCGTACACCAAAGCCCGGCGTCAGCGGCACCGCCACCGCAACTAGCCCGTACTGCAACTAGCCCGTACTGCAACTAGCCCCTACTGCAACTATCCCCTTCTGCAACTAGCCCCTTCTGCACCTAGCCCCTTCTGCAACTAGCCCGTACTGCAACTAGCCCCTACTGCAACTATCCCTTACTGCAACTATCCCCTACTGTAACTAACCCCTTCTGCAACTAGCTCCTACTGCAACTAGCCCCTACTGCAACTAGCCCTCACTGCAAGTAGCCCCTACTGCAACTAGCCCCTTCTGCAACTAGCCCCTACTGCAACTAGCCCCTACTGCCACCACCTTCGCTGATTGTTCGTGATTCCGGGCGCGACAACTGTTAAGGTCATTAGCCCCGTGAGTGCATGTTTATACCGGCGGTGGCCTTCCCCCGCTATATGGCGAGATCCGGCGCCGACCTACCGTCGGATACCCCAACCAGGTATCTCCCACCAGCGGGGCACCGTCCCAGCCGGGACAAGCTCTAAACTCCCGACCGGTCTCCCGGCACGTGTGGTAGTGTTTGCGCATGTCAGTGAAAATGTGTGTTGTAAGGGATGAAGATAGGACCAAATAAAATCAGCGCGCGCGGTCCGTGACCCGTTTGTTAGGGTACTGCTCCGGCATTCGCATGGGGATGATCGGAGAAAACACCGAAAACTACCGATCAGAGCAACCGGCCGCTAAAACTCTCCTCCAATCAGCACCTGAATTCGATTAGCTGTGTCGCTAGTGTCGAAAATTCTGCCACAGTCGAAACGTGAACCCTAGAACCTCCCGGTTGGAGGCACTGCAGTGATATCAATTGATTCTCCGAGCCCCCTAAGTCGGTGAACTGATTCGTATTTTCAGATCGGTAGACGAACGAAAACGTTGGATAGGAGTAGGAGAGTCTCGCAGAACTTCGCATGATCACCCCCCACACCGAGCTGGGATGAATGTGTATGTAGAGAGCCCCTGTCAATAGGTACTGCAGAGGCATCAGTTGATGCCCCGAGCAACTTCTCCCAGTACCCCCCCCCGCCTTCATCGCCACCTCCTCCGACCGTGCAATCACCACCGCCATCACCACCTTCGCCAACCCCTGCATCATTGCCAGCGTCACCGCCTCCGTCACAGACGTCGCGACCGCCGGCACACCCGTCCGTGCGGGTGATCTGGGCTGTCCGGGTGACGCCGCGTCGAAGGCTGAGAGTGTGGCATACCAGCCCTGAGGAAGACCACGACAGGATGGTCGAAACGTCGGCAACTCAGCTTTCGACGCGGCGTCACCCGGACAGCCCAGATCACCCACATGACTCTGGTCGCGGAAGCCTACGACTCCACCCGTCCGTGCTTTCGCAGCCGCCACCGCAGCCTCCGAGCCAACCGATAAACGGGCTATCGTGAGCGTCCTTTGACTTCTGTCCCGCAGACGACGCAGTCCCGCTGACGCATGCCCGTTGATCTGCGTACAGCGATCGGAGGGAAGTATGTTCGGGTAGACGAGATTAAGGCAATAGTACCGAAGCGATCTCGGACCGGAGGATCGCGGGTTCGAATCCCGCCTCGGACATGGTTCTATTGTGTTCGTCCTTTCACACCCCCTATCATCATCATATCGTGTCATCCTCACAGTTACCATACCGTTACACGCAATAGTGGTCGCTAATGACCTAGTAGTCAAAAGAAGAAAAAAAAGATTTAAAACAGGAATTACTGACATACATATATAATACATTGCGTGCACACAGGAACTCCCACATACTATGGACCGACTTCTAAACGGTTCCCGGTAGCGACTAACAGTTTTCGTCAAACAATTGCAAAGTTTTCATTGTAAAGTGAACAAACAATTAAATAAAATAAAAATTTTAAAAAAGGCGATCGGAGGGTCGATCGAGGACACCAGTACAAACGAGGCAGTATGAAGATTCTTAGACAATATTCTACACGATGCAAATGTGTATATGATTATTTCTTATTATAAATTATTTTCATATATTTCGATGAGATTTATATCCTTCTGCCCTGGACTATTCGCAACATTTCTTAGTTTGCTTTTCCGAATTCCCGGAGTTTCAGAACGTATATATTAAATTGAATTGAATTAAATTTGCCTTATTTTACGTGTCGAGACTCGGGCCATCAGGCCCGCTCTTCCGTCTGACCACGCAAATTTCGCTACGCTCCTTTCACCAACTAGCAGAGAAAGGAGGTATTCCTGGGGCGAGAAACAGGCGAGTTGAATTTAGCTCAGAGGTGTCATTTAGGATTGAGGATCTTTTACATGCAAGTAAATCTAGGAACATGGGACAGCCGGCTTTACTTCCCCTCCGAAGGAAGGCGTACGAAGGATTTTCTCGTCCTTAAAAATCCACGCGATTTGAATCCGCGAACACATT